CCTGCGGCTCAACTTCCTTTGCATCGACCCTGAGCTCCAAGGCGGCTGGGATCCCTCGGCCCGGGGGGCAGGGGTGGCACCGCGGAAGAGACCCGGGATTAAGGGACAGAGCGGTGGAGATGGGAACTCGCCAGCTTGAGGAAGAGGGACAGGTACCGGGGACTGGGGGACAGTGGGAAAGGACAGGAGACAGGACTGAGGGATGTGCAGCTGGGGACAGAAAACTGAGGGCCGGGGACAAGGGGACAGGACTGGACAGAAGACAAGAGAAGAGGTAAGGAGGAAAGAGTACAGTGAGATAGGGCAAGGAAGAGGGTTGGGGACAGAGGACGTGGGGGTAGGCACTAGGGATGGAGAGACAGGAGAATGGGAGAGGAGGTTCAGAGGTCGGAAGGAAAAGGGGGTGGGGACGGCATTGAGAGACAGGAGCCAGGCGCTGAGAAACGGGACCCTGGAGAGCAGGACGGGCTTTGAGGGGAGGCAGGAAGGAGGGGCGGGGAATGAGAGTCTGGGAGAGGGGTCAGGACCCGAGGGCCACAGTCTGGTGATGGGCTGGGGAGAAGAAGCGAGGGCAGGGAAGTTCCAACTGGAGAAGAGGCAGCTTCGTGGGCAGCGGGAGCGGCTTGGGGAGGAGAAGGCTGGGGGATGGGGAGGCCACAGAGAGACGGAGGTAGGCAGGCCCCAGAGAGCAAAGTCTTGTCAGAGAAGGCTGGGATGGCAGGGTCACTCTGGAGCCCCGTGTGGGAGGAAGGATTGGGGTGGGAAGGTGCACTGAGTCGTTGGGACCAAAAAGGTCTGGGAAATGACTTCTGGTGGTAGGGGCACAAGAAAGGCTGAGAGGGAGCACCCAAGCCTCCCATCCACACACCCCTTAGCTCCCTGGAGACCCCAGCTCCATCCAGCTCAGGAGGTTTCCCTGGGTCCCACTCCCCACACCCCAATCCCTGCCCTGGCCCTCCTCTGTTCCCACAGCTCTGCCCCAAGGAAGCCAGAGCGTCTCTGTGCAGGCTCCTGGGCTGATGATGTCCAGGGACCAGAGCTGGGTCCTCACCCTGCCAGGATGAACTTCCAGGTGTGAGCAAACTCCAGAGCCGGTGCTGCTCTTCCACGCCCAGACAGACCACAGATCTGCCCTTCACGCACAGCTCACCGAGGTCCCACCCTGCGCACAAGCACACACACAGGCTACTTGGGATTCACACTTGTGACTCAGGCCTGTAGAGACTCACGTGTGTGGTCAGTCTCCCCACCCCACATAACATCCACAGCTACACACACAGAAATGAAGCCAGTACACATGAGCACAAACACACATGTACATGCACGTACAGATGCATGCACATGCAAATATGCAACTCTGTGTCTACATATATACATCACACCACATATGTAAGGAGCCCGTCGCTTGCATTCATGCCCATGGAAATGCATGTGCACCAACAAACACACACAGACACAGATAAAATCATAGTCTCCCGTGAGCCCAGGACCCAGCATGGAGGAGGGGCATGGCAGGGTGGCGAGAGGTGAGATGCTGGCAGAGCAGGGCCAGGTGGATGTAACAACACGCAGGTTCCCAGGCACTGGGAGAGGTCTGGGGTTGGGGGGTGCTGGGGAGTAGGAAAGGGGGCAGGGTTGGAATCTAAGAGGCCTTGGGGCCCTGGGAGCTGCGCCTGAGAAGACAGCTTTCTGAGGGTGGGTGGAGGGAAGTGGGCAGTTTGTTTGCCCAGCAGGGTCTGAGGAGCCCTCCATCGAGGCACTGGGAGTCGGGTGGTGCACCCCCAACCCCCTGCCTCAACTCTCTTCTCTGGGGAGGAGCCATCACCCTCTGGAATCACAGGCTGGTAGCCCCAGAGCCCCTCAAAGAGGGGGCTTGGACCAGGCTCATGTGCCAAAGAGAAACCATGGGTCTGGGGAGGGGACCTGTGCAGCGGGTAGGGGCCAGCAGCTGAGGAAGAGGCAGGGTCTAGAGAGAGAGGCAGGTGGGGAAGTCTGTGTCCCGGGTGAAGGGAGGCATAGCCCAAGGGCGAGAGTCCACGCCCTCTCCGATCAATGCAGCCAGGTACCCACAGCCAGGCACAGGTTACCCACGCGAGTCAGACAGCCATGGGGTGGAGACCTAGGACCTGAGTTCCATGTGGCGCATCTGGGAGTCCTCTCCAGCACTGTCCCTGGGCTGGTCTAGAACAACCAGTGCCAGCCGAGGAGACTGTTGGAACTCGGGAACGGGGGCTCTGCTCCCAGCTGGGTCTAGCAAAGGTGACAGGACCTTAGCCTGGCCAAATACCCCTATACCAGGCCACTCTCAGAGCCTTTGCTGGGGCACCGTGGGCCTGGGAAGGGCCCCGCACCTGCAGAGATGCCCCCCGACCCCTGCCAGGCCCAAGGCCGCTTATTGCTCTCTGGTGCGGTTTATCCTCCACTTTGAGGTGATCTCCAAGGCATTCAGAATCCTGGCTGACATCCCCTGGCCACCCCGAATTCTCCAGCCTCACCATCATGCGCTGTGTCCTCAGGGAATGTAAATCAATTTAAGTATTAGTCTCAGCGAAATGGAATGGGGGAAGGCGACGGTGCTGGAGAAAAAAAGAAATCGCATAATGCCTTCTACAGTCCAACAGGAGCGGCTTAGGAGTTATCTGTGTTTCCCAGAGCAGGAGAGGGACCCGTTTGATCCCCCCAGAACAGCCCGGGCAGATAGGCCTAGGAGGGATGCCTATGGACATCTTTCAGATAAGGAAACTGAGGCAGAGGGGTTAAGCGCTTCGCTTCACTGAAGGGCCCTGGGAGACCATGGAGTCCAATCCCCCGGTTTGTAAGCGGGGAGATGGGCCCACAGGGGAGAGCTGGCTTCATAGTCCGGCAGCGCAAGAGGCAGGAGAGAGGCCCCCTGCGGTGACCAGAGGGTCTGAATTCCCAAGGGGACCCAGGCCCAGGCTGGGTGGGCCTAATGCTGGCGTTCTCTTCAGCCCTGATCAAACCTCCTATGGACTTGGGGCTTCCTTCGAGGGACACTCTGCGTTTTCATCCATTCAAGGGGACATGGATGGGGAAGGTGGAGATGGAGACAGAGGAAGAGGAGGGAGGGGAGGGACAGAGAAGGGTCTGGAATGAATTGGAACAAACAGCCCTGGAATCCTATAGCCCTTCCTGAGTCTGATAGAATCGACTTTTGACTTATCTTTGGATTATCTGATTCCCCTGGCTGGTTGATCAAGAATCAGCTGCAGATAAGGTGGGGCTTCCCCGGGGAGAGCAGGGCCTGGAGAGCGGTGTGTGCAGGCCCTGAAGTCCGCACGCTCCAGGGGGAGAATCCTACGAGGTGGATATCCACTCGGGTGGCTCCAGGGTAGGGGCAAGTCTGGGCTGCATCCAGGCCAGGTCACGGAAGGGGCCCAGTCACCCCGAGACCTGTGTCCGGGATGCGGGGTGGGGCGAGGGGGGCCCATATGTGTCCTTCCCTCACTGTGTCCCCAAACTCGGCTTTGCTGGTCTGGGGGAAGCTGCAGTGCGGCCCGCTCCCCCTCCCACCAGCCAGCAGGAGGAGAGAGCTTGCCTGACCCAGTTTTCTCCACATTGCCTGAGAGGGAGGGAGGGAGGGAGGCTGGAAGCCTTCTCTCTGCCTCTGCCCCTGGTGTGGGGCCGGCTTGGGGAGGGGGACGTCCCTCTGCGGACATTCGCTCTGTCCCCTGATCCCAGGTGGCCCCTGGGGACCCAGGGGGAAATGCAGGGAGGAGCACGGAGAACCCCTCCCTAGTTCTGCCAGCCCCACTCCAGCCGGCCTCCTCCAGGGTCCCTGACGGTGGGGTGGGGAGGGTGAGAGGCAGGAGAAAATCAGCAAATAAGAGCATCTTCACTCCAGCATTTCCTGAGGACACTTGTCCCCGTCTTTGAGGGGCAGGCTTAGAGCTATGCAAATCTCAGGCAGAAAGACACCCAGCCGCCTGCGGGAAAGTTCCAGGAGGGCTCCATCTTTAACCCCCGTCACCGGCCCAAGCCCGCTGACTGGGGTGGTTAAAAGCCCATGGCTGTTGGCTGGGAGAGGAGGTTCATGGAAAGCAGAGTGAAAGGGAAAGCTGTGGGACTCTGGAGCCAAGAGCCTCTCATACAGCAATCACCAGCTAGCCAAAAGGAAGCAGCGAGGTGAAAGGACTTGACCAAGGACACACAGCAGTTAGAGACAGCTGAAGCCTGAGCCCTGATTTCTAAACAGCATAATGCATCTGTATCACCTTAAATGAGGGAGTGACACAAGGGACATGGAGAGAGGCGGGGGGCGAGGGACTTAGAGAAGGGAAACTAGTGTTGTTAAGGACCAGCCCTGGCTCCAGGCTTTACATACTTTCCTGACCTTCATCCCACCCTTAGGTACTATGAACCCATTTTACAGATGCGAAAATTGAGGGTCACCTGCTAATAAGTAGCTGCCTTGAGACGTGGGCCCAGGAATGTCTGACCCCCAAGATGGGCTCTTTTCCCTACCGTGTTGAGCTTGCAGCCTCTCCTTTGCAGAGGGCCTGACTTAGAGTGACTTGCCCTTTGGGCCAGTGCTTCTTTCCCGCCGTGGAGACTACCCAGAGGTTCTGCTTCTCGGGCCTGAGCATCCAGGGATGGTGATGGCCTGCAGTTGCTAAAGCAGGTGCTCCGAATGCCAGCCCTGCCAGCTACACCTGTGGGGCTCTGGGCACATTCCCGGACCTCCCTGAGGTTCGGTTCTTTTATCTGTAAAATGGAGATAATAATGGCCGCCTCTCAGGTTGTTGTGCGGGGGCGCAGATGAGGCATCTCAAGCTCCCCTTGCAGATATTGGCACATAGGTGCTCACTAAGAGGCAGCTCTTACCCCCCAAGCCCCGCCACACCAGATGTGCACAGAGGACATGCTAGATGCCAGGCACCATGCTGGGGGAACAGGGTAATTATTAAGCTGGGGCCAGTCCTCCGATGGGAGGAATGACTTTGCAGCATGGACCTTGAATGCCATCATGGCTCCTACAGGAGACAAGGGTCAGGTCATCATCACAAAAGCCCTGTGGGACCGAAATCATTATTACCCCATTTTACAGAGGAGGAAGCGGAGGCTCAGGGAGGTGAGGGGACTTGCCCAGGGACACACAGCTCCTAAGTGGCACAGCTGGGATTTTGAGGCCTGCCAGCCTCGAGCCCACCTCTTAACTATCCCACTGTGCCAGCAACCAAGGATGTCTGGCACTTGGAACAGCTTGTGCTCTGGGAGTTCAGAATATTACTTTTTGGCCAAGAGGGTGAGAGGAAGGCTTCAGGGAAGAGAACTTAAACTGGGCCTTCAAGGAGAGGGGAAGAGAGAAAGGGCATTCAGGCAGAGGGACCCATGTGAGCTGTGTGCTGGGGGCTGAGCGTGGACCAGTGTAGCTGGGTCAGGCTGCGCTTGAGGAGCTGGGGAGAGGTTACAGGGGCCTGATGCCCTCTTGTCTCCTGTTTTACAGTGAATTTGCTGGACACATCGACCATCCACGGGGACTGGGGCTGGCTCACGTATCCGGCTCATGGTGTAAGTGACGGGCAGTGGGGACAATGTCATCCCCCTGTGAGCGGAGAGAGGCTGCCACTCAGAGTCTGCATGAGATCGATCAAAAGGAAGCAGAGGCCCAGAGAGGTCAAGAGACTTACCCAAGGGCACACAGCAGTTAGTGCTGCTGATCTCTTAACAGTTTAGTGCATACAGACCCTTGAGATTACAGAACCAACCCTGGCAACAGATCCCTGATTCTTCAAGTCTGAGGCCCTAGATCCAGGGATCCCCATGGCTGCATCCTACAGATTCATGAGGTGCCAGGCCGGGACTAAAGAAGGCCAGCCAGGCCTTCCTGCCTTCTGGGTTGCTCCCTCCCTCCCAGCTGCCCTGGCCTCACCAGTCCTCCGACCTCTGGAGTCTCTGCTTGTCTGTCTCCCCAAGTGGCCAGGTTCCCAGGCCTCCATGGTGACTCTGGACTCGGCCTTCATGTTGCTGTGGGTAATGTGCTCACAGGCTGTGCCTCCATCCTCCTGGGGAGGAGCTGCAGTGAGCAGGCTGCACTGCCCCGTCCCTCTGCGTCTCTTCTCTGAATCCTGCGGGGGCAGGGCAGTAGAATAGGAGTGAGCCCACGAGCCTGGTGAGATCCCGGCTCTGCCCTTGACAAGCAGGTGGCCTTGGGTCACCACTTCACCTCTCTGAGTCTCAGTTTCCCCATCTATAGAAAGGGACAAGCCTGTGACGACCTCCTAGGTCTGCAGCAGGGCGAGAGCAGATGACACAGTCTTGGCACTGAGTCTGGCACAGGGTGAACCCTCAATGAACGTAGGCTTTTATAATGATCTTTAGCATTGTTACTCACGTGTATTATCGCACACAGTTACCGTCACATGAACTTCCTCTCACCAGGGTGCTCAGAAACACACACATGCACACACACGCGTGCGCGTACACACACATGCACACATCCCTGCCACGGACACAAGCACATGGTGCATACCTGAGTTCTGTCATGTCCACGTTCAGCTTCTATGGCTGTGAGGACAGAGGGATAATAATATTAATAATGATGATGATAATGCCACCAACAGTTAACACTTATGAAGGGCCTTTCTTGACTTTGGGTAGAGTTTTCATCTGGGCCTTTTGTGGGGGGCCTGTGGTTGGAAGTCTAGACATGGCCCCTCTCCTCTCTCTCTGGGGGTCTGGTCACCAGGCAGCAGTGAGCTGAGCCTGTTATCAACCCTCATGCACCGGGCTCCCGGGAGCTGGGGGCGGGCCACATGGCCCTGGCTCTCCAGGTCCCTGAGCCTGGAGAAAGCCCTCATCACCTGAGCCAGCACCACTGCCCGAGGACAGAGGCCAGGTGCTTGGGGGTATCCCTTTACCTCGCAGCGTGTCAGTCCCCCGCTCTGTAAAACGCTCCTTGGTGTGGCTGTCTTCCCCGCGTGAGTGTGGTGTGGAAGGCTTTGGTGCATGAGCTGGCCCGCGTGTCAGGGTTCCACCCGTGAGGAGACGGGTCCTGGTTCCTCCCTCACTGCATGGTGGTTGGCTGAGTTGGCATTCCCCTGAGTCCCAGCAGCTAGGAGGGCACGCCTGGGCCCTGGCTGGCTCCGGGGTGTCTTTATCCCGCCCAGAGCATCGGACTTGGTGTTTAGGGTAGCGAGGAATTGTCAGGGTTTTCGGCAGGTGGGGAGCATGGCTGGCCTCGTGTTTTGGACGCTCACACTGGCAGTGTCAGGTGAGTTTTCGTGCAGGGCACTATAAAGCATAGCTCAGCATTCTGGCATTGCATTCGCGAGTTAGAACAAATCAGGCAACTTCACTGAGCTCTGAGCAGGTCACAGGCATGATCTCATCACTCCCCACAACCAATCCTTGAGGTGGGTGCAGCCGCTGCACTTCACAGGTGAGGAAGCTGAGGCTCAGCGCAGTGAGGAGTAATTTGCCCATCATCAGGCAGGTTCCAGCTGATCGCAAGCCGGGACTTAAACTTGGGTCTCTCTGAGCCCAGAGCCTGTGGTGAGTCCCTTATGCCACCTTTGAACTGCAGGCAGTAAGGCCCACTCTGTGACCGTTTCATGAGATGGGGAGGCAAGCCTGCACTCTCTGCTGAGCCAGGGACCACCTGCCACCGTCAGGGGGCCTGGAGACTGGGGCTTCTCGGAGAGGAGGGAAGGCTGGAATGACATGCCTGATTCCCAAACTCTAGACTTTGAACCTGTGCCAGGCTAGCAGGTGAAGCCTGCAGAGTTCCACATCCAGGAGGTCTGTGGAAGGGCCTGGGAATCTTCTGTTTAATAAGCTTTCCAGGGAGCCAGGCATGGTGGCCCACACCTGTAAGTGTAGCATTTTAGGAGCCTTGCTTGCGACCAGGAGTTCGAGACCAGCCTGGGCAACATAGTGAGATGCTTTCTGTACAAAGATATTAAAATTAGTTGGGTGTGGTGGTGTGCGCTTGTGGTCCCAGCTACTCAGGAGGCTGAGGTAGGAGGATTGCTTGAGCCTGGGAGGTCGAGGCTCCAGTGAGTCACTGTACTCCAGCCTGGGTGACAGAGAGAGATCTTGTCTCAAAAAATAAAAATAAAAAACAATCAGCTTTCCAGGTGATTCTCCTGCCCAGCTGGGAGGGGGAACCTCTGGAGATAGTCCTTGAGGTTCTATCCGTCCCTCTGACTCTGGAGTCCATTCAGTAGCTTGAGGACAAGGGTCACCCAGGGCAGTTTCCAGCCTCAGAAATGTTACACGATTGTCAGACAGGTGCAGAACCTGAAGGGCCAGGGCGCTGGGTCCTGAAGAACGGGGGCTCCGCCTCCTGTAGTCAGTGTGATTCAGGCAGATCACTTACTTCGTCTCCACCTCCTCATTTATAACATGGGGACAATCTTAGAACTGCTCCGTGCAGTGCCACCAATGGGATGATACATGAAAAGGCCGTTTTACCAACGAGAAACTGAAAGCTCTCAGAGGCGAAGTAATTCTGCGAAGACGGGGAGGTCTGGCCCAGACCCTCTGCTCTTCATCAGGCTGCGTCCTTCCCTCTGCTCCCGGGAACTTCCGCACGCTGGGGCTGGGACGTGCTCCGCCTGCTCTGGCTAATTAACATGGACTAACAAATGCTGCTTTAGGTAACCGGGCAGGTTAATTTCCATTGCACCCCCTGGAGTAGACAGAAGGAGCAGGCATTCGCTACCCTATTTTACAGAAGAGAAGCCCAAGCCTCAGAGAAGGGATGTGCCTCAGCAAGCGCTGCACAGCTGGTTCACTGCATTCTGATCTGGGAGGAGGACAGAGTTGGGGGACCAGTGTGCCAGAGTCAGTTTTTGGGCTTGAGAAGCAGTGGAGATGGGAGTGGCACCCAGCATGGGGTGGGGGTGCCCCAGGCAGAGAACAGTGCTGATTCTGCCCTTGCACCAGACCTCCCGGAGTCTGTGCCACTCTGGGCATCTGCAGCAGCTCCTGGGGGTTGGCAGGGCTAGGCCAGACCATTGGCCCCGGTGGGGCAGCTGTAGTAGACTCAGATTGAGCCGATTAATTTATCCGGGTCCCTGGCAGGAAACAGACAGGGAGCAGCTGGCTGGCTCTTTGGTGCTCCATTAATTGTGACAATGACTTTAACCCCAGATGTGATGCTGTGCTGCCTGGAGCCTCTGACAGCAGAGCGGGGTGTGGAGCAGGGGTCCTTCTTGGGTTGGGGAGACTTGGAAGCATAAACTCTTTCAGGTGAGGCTTGCACTTCCTGGGACCCCTTTGGAAACAGGAAATCTTCCCACATGGTCCCTGGAGGCAGGTGCGGTGGGCTGTGAAGATGCTGCCAGTTCAGTATCATATTCGGGCCATTCGTCAAGTGCCTTCCTGTGCCAGGCCTGAGCTAAGCACTTTGCAGAAAGTTTCCCACTGCATCCTCTCAAACCTAGCTGAAGTGGGGCCTACTTGAGTCCCATTTTACAGCTGTGGGCACTGAGGATCAAGACGAGACTAGATGGAGGGGCTTGGGATGGGCAGGAAAAGACTTGAGATGCCCATGACCTTCTCTCTAGCACTTGTGGAATAAGCCCAGAACTCCACAGGTTCTCAGAGCATCTGGTCATGAAGCCCCCCTCCCCCTTTAAGCAGTAGGCTCTCTCGTTCAAGGACAATTGAAGAAGGTCAAGGTGTTGCATGTGTGAAGGAACCAGGACAGGGGCCCAGAGACCAACCCTTCCTCTGTCCTCGTCCTCCAGCTCCTCCTTGGAGCCCTCATGAGTCCCTGAAGTCAGCTCAACAAGGACTGCTCCTGGCCAGCTGGTGCTCAGCAACTGAGGAAGTTAGGGCTGTCCCCTTCCCTGTCTTCTGTAGACCTCCACCCTTGCAAGAGGGTGCTGCTTCATTGCAGTGCCAGGTTGACAGGTAAACTACAGATGCCCACACCCAGCAGGGCTGGGGAGGGGCCTGGGAGTCTTACCCACCTGAATTCCCTTGGCTTATCACCCGGCACTGCCTGGTCTGGTGGACCCGGGGCACTTGGGACAAGGAGTGTTTGTGGTATCTTTCTTTCTTGCTTGCTTATTCTGATGAAATACACATAATGTAAAGTTTACCGTGTTAACCCTTTTTAAATGCACAGCTCGGTGATATGTAGTGCATTCACATTGCTGTGTGGCCATCACCACCGCCACTGCCAGGACTCCTTTCATCCTGCAAAATGGAAACTCCGCACACTTAAACAGTCACTGCCCCCTCCCTGCCAGCCCCTGGCAGCCAGCGTTCTACTTTCTGTCTCTCTCAATCTGACTAGGTACTGCATAGACGTGGAATCCTAATGATATTTGTTCTTTGTTTCTAGCTTATTTCATTTGGCATGTCTTTAAGGTGTATCAGAATTTCCTTCCCTTTCAAGGCTAATACTCTGTGATAGGTATATACCACATTTTGCTTATCTACTGGTTCATTGACGTACGCTTGGGTTCCTTCCACATTTTGGCTATTGTGAATAATGCCGCTATGAATAGGGGTGTACAAATATCTTTTTGAGACCCTGCTTTCAATTCTTTGGGATATATACCCAGAAATGGGATTGCCAGATCATATGGTAATTCTATTTTAAACACTTTGAGAAGCTGCCATACTGTTTTCCACAGCAGCTGCACTATTTTACAGTCCCACCCGTAATGCACATGGTTCTAATTTCTCCACATCCTTGCCAACACTTATTATTATCTTTTTTTTTTTTTGAGAGGGAGTCTCGCTCTGTTGCCCAGGCTCGAGTACAGTGGTGCGATCTTGGCTCACTGCAACCCGTCTTCCAGGTTAAAGTGAATCTCCTGCCGCAGCCTCCCGAGTAGCTGGGATTATAGGCACGCGCCACTGCATCTGGCTAATTTTTGTACTTTTAGTAGAGATGGAGTTTCTCCATGTTGGCCAGGCTGGTCTTGAACTCCTGACTTCAGGTGATCCACCTGCTTCGGCCTCCCAGGGTGCTGGGATTATAGGTGTGAGCCACCGTATCCAGCCTTATTATTATTATTTTTTATAACAGTCATCCTAATGTGTATGAAGTGGTATCTCATTGTGGTTTTGGTTTGTATTTCCCTAATGATTAGCGATGTTGAGCATCTTTTCATTTGGCCATCTGAATATTTTCTTTAGAGAAATGTCTGTCCACGTCCTTTGCCCATTTTCTAATCAGACTGTTTCTTTTCTGTTGTTGTTGAGTTGTGGGAATTCTTTATGTATTCTGGATATTAATCCCTTATCAGCTACATGATTTGCATATAGCTTCCCCCATTTCATGGGTTACCTTTTCAGTTTGTTGAGAGTGTCTGGTTTATTTTGAAATCACTGATGCCCAGCCAGCAGGCAGCACAGAAGCAATTACACTCAACTTTCTCACATCCTGGGATTCCCTTGAGTGGGACCCAGGCCAGCCCAGGGAAACAGCAAGAAGAGCAGGGTGGAGGGAGTCTGTGGATCAGGCAGTCACTCAATAAGCAGCAGTGCAGGAGAGGCTGCTGAAGGATTTGAGGTGGGGACAAGGCATAATCTGGTTCGTATATTAGAAAGATCCCTCTGGCAACTGATATGGAAATTGGACTTACTGACTTCACCAGGCAAGTCCTCCCACTCTAAGAAAGATAGGAGGAGCCATAGAGAAATGAGGGCAGAGCTTTGGCATCAGGCAGGCCCGATTCCCGTCCAGCCGTTGCTCGATAATGACATGACCTCACACATGTGGCTCACAGGTCAGAGCTTCTACTTCCTCATCTCAAGAGTTAGTAAATAACACTTCCCCTGAAGATTGTGGCCCTCTGCGAGATCACGTCTTCAGAGGGCCTGGCATCTGGTAGCTATGACAGTCCACCAGCAGGCCAGCTCCTTTGTCTTTTTTTTCCCAGCGTCCCCAGCACAAAACACAGGGTCACTGGCAAAAGAAGGTGAGGCGCTGGCTGTGCTTCAGTGGCTGTGTTCTCTCTGCCCACAGTGGGACTCCATCAACGAGGTGGACGAGTCCTTCCAGCCCATCCACACGTACCAGGTGTGCAATGTCATGAGCCCCAACCAGAACAACTGGCTGCGCACGAGCTGGGTCCCCCGCGACGGCGCCCGGCGCGTCTATGCCGAGATCAAGTTTACCCTGCGCGACTGCAACAGCATGCCCGGCGTGCTGGGCACCTGCAAGGAGACCTTCAACCTCTACTACCTGGAGTCGGACCGCGACCTGGGGGCCAGCACACAAGAAAGCCAGTTCCTCAAAATCGACACCATTGCGGCCGACGAGAGCTTCACAGGTGCCGACCTTGGTGTGCGGCGTCTCAAGCTCAACACGGAGGTGCGCGGTGTGGGTCCCCTCAGCAAGCGCGGCTTCTACCTGGCCTTCCAGGACATCGGTGCCTGCCTGGCCATCCTCTCTCTCCGCATCTACTATAAGAAGTGCCCCGCCATGGTGCGCAATCTGGCTGCCTTCTCGGAGGCAGTGACGGGGGCTGACTCTTCCTCACTGGTGGAGGTGCGGGGCCAGTGCGTGCGGCACTCGGAGGAGCGGGACACGCCCAAGATGTACTGCAGTGCGGAGGGCGAGTGGCTGGTGCCCATCGGCAAATGTGTGTGCAGTGCCGGCTACGAGGAGCGGCGGGATGCCTGTGTGGGTGAGCGCGCCATGGCCTGGGCATGGGTCAGCCGGCAGCGGCACTTGGTCTGGGCAGGGCTGCCAGGGTGTGAGGGGGGACGTTAGAGCCCACAGGCACCTGGGTGGCCCACACAGCCCCTGGGAAGATGGATAAACCTCCAGTGTTCCTACATCAGCAAATATGCCAGGCCACCTGTGTCCGTGTGTTGGGGAAGGACGTGGAAGCAAGAAGGGGGAGGGGAGAGGGAGGGAAACAGACTTCAGCCAGGCGGTGCCTTCTGTCGGGGGTACCAGCTAAAGGCACCTGTGCAATTGGGTATGCTATGGGATTCCTACTCGGATTAGGGAACGATACCGTGGGCTAACTCAGGTCAGACATAGTTCTAAGCACTTTGCGAGTGTTAACTCATTGAATCCTGGCCACTGCGTTATGACATAGGAACTGCTATTGTCCTGGTTTTATAGATGAGGAGACTGAGACACAGAGAGGCAAAGCAACTTGCCCAAGGTCATGCAGCTGGGGATGGCAGAGCTGGGATTTCAACTCAGAAGTCTGGTTCCAGAGCTGGTGCTCGAAACCACTGAACTTCTAACCTGTAGAGTAGAGGGAAGTGGGACCCAGGCCCTGGGTGAATGAGCACAGTGAGGGGTATAAAGCCAGGGGCACCCGGGGAGTACAGTCTGGGTTGGGCCTGTCCCTGGGGCCCTGAAAAGGCTGCTTCTGTTCAGGGGGAGCTTATCAGCGACCTGTGCTAGAAGACAGGCAAGGGCCTTGTGGAGGAAGACAGTGAGCAGAGAGCCCCTGGGCCATGACTTAGGGTGGCACCTGTACCCATAGGTGTGCTGCTGGGTTCCTGCGTCGGACCAGGAGCAGGGCATGCAGACGGGGGAGCCTAGGCCCAGGTGGTGTGAGTGTATGTATGCGTGTGTGCAAGTGTGCATATGCATGTGTGGGTACGTGTGTGCATGTGTACGTGAGTGTATGTACACGTGTGTACGTGTGCACAAATGTGTATGCATGTGTGTGTGCATGTGTGCGTGAGTGTATGTATGCATGTGTGTACATTTGTGCATGAGTGTATGCATGCATGTGTGTGCACGTGTGTGTATGCATGTGTGCATGAGTGTATGTGTTCCTGTGAGCATGAGTGTACGTGTGCGTGTGTGCATGTGTGTGCGAGTGTATGTGTGCATGTGTGCAAGGGTATCTGTGCATGTGTGTGTCTATGTGTGTGTGTGCATATGTGCACGATGGCCCTTGAGTGTGTGCATGTGCGCGTGAGTGTATGTGCGCATGTGCGCGTGAGTGTATGTGCACGTGTGTGTGTACACGCGTGAGTGTATGTATGCCTGTGTGCGTGTGCATGAGTGTATGTGTGCGTGTGCACGTGTGTGTGCATATGTGTGCAGTGTGTGCACATATTTGTGCAGTGTGTGTGCATGTGCATGACTGTGTGCATGTGTGTGCATGTGTGTGTGCATGTGTGTGTGCATGTGTGTGTGCATGTTTGTGTGCATGTGTGCATGAGTTTGTGTGCATGTGTGTGTGTATGTGCGAGTGTATGTGTGCATGTGTGCGTGATTGTATGTGTGTGTGCATGTGTGCATGAGTAATGTGTGACTTTGTGCATGTGTGCACACGTGTGCATGAGTGTGTGTGTGCATGTGAGTGTATGCATGAGTGCATGTGTGTGCATGTGTGCATCAGTGTGTATGTGTGTGCATATGTGCGTGAGTGTATGTATGCATGTGTGTGCATGTGCGCTTGAGTGTATGCATGCATGTGTGCATGAGTGTGTGCATGTGTGCACACGTGCGTGTGGGTGTATGTGTGCATGTGTGCATGAGTGTATGTGTGCATGTGTGCGTGTGTGTGCATGTGTGTGTGCACGTGTGTGTGCATGTGGGGGAGTCTGTTCAGCTGGGCACCCCAAGAGCAGGGAACACTAAGCAAGCTTGTGTGGACAAACAGCAGGTGCCCAGCTGCTCCTGGTCTTGGCTCAGCTTCTCTCTGTTGTTTTCTTTGGTCTCACCAGTGGCTGGGCACATAGTGGCTCAGCTCCCGGGGCACAGCAAAGCCTGGCTTTTGAGATCGTTGGATCTCAAAAGAGGAGACAGAGGAGGTAAAAGGGAGGGGGATGTTCCTATGCAGGGATCAGAGAGACAAGAGCCTGTCCCCAGATACCCTTAGTGACAACTGGAACGGGGCCCTTGTCAGCCGCTGGGAATATGCTCCTAGCCTTTTGCTGCTACTACACAGGCCCTGGGACCACAGTGAGAGGGATCTTTAGTCCTCATCACCCATCCCTCTGCCCCCAGCAGGCAGGCAGGAAAGGCCCCTAAGCACTAACAGGACTGGGCATGACATAGGCTGACAGCCTCAGGTAATAACAGGTGGGGATGGAATCCAGCTGGCTCCATTTAGGAGCCATCTTGCCCAGAGATCTCTGGGGCCAGGATCTTCCCTGCAGCCACCAGGCCCTTTCCAGCCCTTCCCAGAGGCTCGATGGTTCTCTCTTTCTTTCTTTTCTTCTTTTATTTCTTTTTTCTTTCTTTTCTTTCTTTCTCCTTCCTTCCTTCCTCCCTCTCTCCCTCCCTCCCTGCCTTTTTTTTTTGGAGATGGAGTTTTCACTTTTGTTGCCCAGGCCGGAAGTGCAATGGTGTGACCTCAACTCTCTGCAACCTCCGCCTCCCGGGTTCAAACAATTCTCCTGCCTCAGCCTCCCGAGTAGCCAGTATTACAGGCACCCACCACCAAGCCCAACTTATTTTTGTATTTTTAGTAAAGACGGGGTTTCACCATGTTGGCCAGGCTGATCTCAAACTCCTGACCTCAAGTGATCCGCCTGCCTCGGCCTCCCAAAGCGCTGGGATTACAGGTGTGAGCCACCGCCTCCAACCCACTATCTGGTTTTCTTAAGAAATTTTGTTTCACATCCCCAATTTCTGAGTCTTCTCCTGTCCTGAGCTCTAAACCCCAAAGCACCTTCTGTGGCGTTTGCCCATTTCTGAATTTGTTCTGCCCTCTGCAGCCTGATTTGCCAGGCTCCCCAGGCCACAAGCCTCTCATGGTTACTGTCACAGACAGCCCCGTATGGCTCAGCTTTGCACTGGGGAAGAAAAACAACCAACACCCCTATTGCCTTCACAGCTTATAGTGGGGTGCATCACATAGCAGCTCATTTGCTCATTGCAGCAAGGCAGGTATCACAATTCCATTTTACAGATGGGGAAGCTGAGGTGTAAGAGGTAGTGTCACCTGCTTAGGCCTCACAGCTGGTGAGAGCTGGAGCTGGAGCCTGAAGACAGGTCTGTATTGCTCTGAGCCAGATACAGGCTTTTAGCATCTCCCTGGCTGCTTTGCCCGCCAGAGCTGCTCCAAACATCCCCTCATTCTGATGGGAATAATGAAGGACCTTAGTGATGATTTTTCGTCTTTGATGTTATACAGTTATCCATTCTGCTGAGCATCTACTGTGTCCCGGCATTGGTGATACAGGTACGGGGAGTCCCTGCCTCTGGGGACTTAGCAGTTTCCTATCCTTACAACAGTCCTCTAAGCTAAGTATTATAGTCCCATTTTACAGATAAGAAAAACTGAGGCCCCTCAACTTAAGTAGCAGAGTACTGATCTGATCCCAGGTTGCCTGATTCCAGCACCTTCAATGGCTTCCTTTGTGCACAGCGCCCTCTGCGAAGCCCCACTTCCCTCCTCCGTGGGGTAGCGTTCGGATGAATGGTTAGTAACTGGTACAGCATAAGTCATAACAATCTGGCTGGTTGGCTGGTGCATATGCACTCAGGGTCGGCCACCATCCCCACCTCTGGATTTAGCCAGCGAGTACAAATACGCCAATCATTTGTCCCGGGTGCACTGAGCCACATTTGTCTGTAGGAAGGAGACCTGCCCTCCTGTCTTTGGGGTCACGACCTCAGTTGGAGGCCTCAGGTAACGCCGCAGTCTTCTTGTGGCAGAGGAAGGAAGCAGAGCCCAGAGAGGGAATGTATCTTGCCCAATTTTCACAGCACATCAGGGGTGGGGCTCTGAGTGGAAACCCCAGGGCCTGAGTGGCAGGACCTCATGGGGGCTGGGAGAGGCCAAGGCCACTCCTATTTCCTGGCGCTGCTGCCACATTAATAACAAATAAAAAGAAATGCCAAAGCGGAGTTAGGGAATTGCAGCATATTTTGAATTTTACATTTAAATCATAATACAACATAATTATGCCAGTTTCAAGATAATTACAGGTTTTATAAAAAATATTAATTCATAGTGCACTGCAGGCAGTGAGATTTGGGAACGGAAAGCCTGTTTTAAGTCGCACAAGGAAAGACATTTCTCAGCCCCGTTGGTGGCTTCTGTAGCTGCATAACTTCATTTGGGAAGGGCAGCACGGGTCCCAAACCAAGGCCCTTCACAAGTGGTAACCAGGTCCAAGAGCCCCGCCTCGTCCCCCTTTCCACCCCTGGAGAAGCCCTTGACCTCTTTGGAGCTGCCCGGCTCCTTAGTGGATGGCCTGGGGCAAAGGAGGGGCTGGGAACAGAGTAGGGTACTTTTCCTGGGATACTTGAGATGTTTTCTGCAAGCTGGGGCTGCCCCTGCCCAGCCTGAGGGAGTCTTCAGGAGATCTGCTGAGGTCCATGGGGCCTCTGCCTGGTTTGAGGACATCCTGATCCCTTTTGGGCAATTCTCTCAGCAAGCAGTTAAGGAGAGGAAGGGCGTGGAGTCAGGGGTCTCAGCTCACCCAGCCCTGACTCCTTGTCCTTCTAGTGACAGGAGCAGGGTTCGAGAGCCTGAGACCCACAGTAGCGGCCAGGCCCCCTTCTACAGCTGCCATCCCTGCCTCGGATTTTGCCCTCAGAGGTACCCTCAGAAGGTGGCCAGACAGTACTTGATTTTGCAGAAGAAGACAGTATAGCCTGGGATAAGGGATCCACCAGGTCACATGGCTCTTTAGAGGTCTTGCTTAGATTGCACTCAGGCCTCAGAGACCCATGGAAAAATGTCAGAGCGATGTGGGGCTCGTCCAGTTTACCACTGGGGAATTGGAGGCCCAGAGAAGTGAAGTGACTAGCCCAAGGGCACACAGTGAGGGGTGGTTGATAGAATCTCACATCTCCCGACTCCTTGACCAGAGGAAGTTCCCCAAACTCCACAACTCTGGATCCAGTGACCTCCCCACACCAGGCTGTACTTCCCAGCACCCCCCTGCACCCCGGTTCACCCCAGAAAGGGGAAGGGCCTCTCAGCACATCACCCAACAGGGCAGCAGCCCAGAGTCTGAAGTCCTGGTTGCCGTCCTTCCTGTCACCTGGACGCAGAATATAAATCACCCTTCGCGGCCCTAATCATCTTTCTATAAATATCAGAGTCTCATTTCGGAGGGGGAGCGGGAACGGCGAGCTCTTTTGCCTTCCTGACTGTGTTTAAAATCTGATTTAGAATTAATTTCCTTTGGTTGTCCACCGGCGGACACCTTATTTGTCAAATCTCCGGCTCTTTGCGGGGGAGAGCAGAGAGGTGGCCGGGGCCACAGGCAGCTGCTGGCCTGACAGGCGGCCTGGGCAAGGTGCCCTCGGCAGGGGCAGGAGCCCCTCCTGGCTTGCGGCCCGACACCCGGGCACACGCGGGCTCCGGAAGCACCCCGGGTCGACAGGCAGGGCCGGGCCCCAGCCCAGAGCTGCTCCATCTGTCTCAGCCATTAATTCCCGGCCCAGCCTCCAGGTCTCTGGGCTCCCTGAGGCCTGGTGATTAGTATTCTTATTAAAGATTATTTTATTTTCATTGCGTGGATTAATCTGGCCTTGACACGTTATAGCCATATGGGTATTAGCCGAGCGTGTGAGAACTGCCGACTGGTGAGCCACAGCGGCGCAGCTATCTCTCAGCTCTGGGATGGTGCTGCGAAGACAGGGGGAAAGGCCATAGCTCCAGAGGCTCCCCGGCCTGGCTGCACGGCCTGGCTCTGCTGGGAACCTGGGGCAAGGCACTCAGGCTCCCTGAGCCTCTGTTTCCTCTTCTGTCGAACAATTGTAAGAATTCCAGCTACATCAAATTGTTATAACAACAAGTGCCAGGCACTGCCCTGGCATCAATTTGTGTGTCTTCACTCATGTCATCCTTGCCATCTCCCTCTAAGGCGGGTGGAGTTATGATCTCCACCTTACAGACTAGGAAACTGACTTCCAGCAACTTGCCCAATGGCACCGAGCTCAGATAAAGGGGGTTAGGCAAGGACGGGAACCCAGGCACTGCTCCCGAGTTTCTGCTCAGGCCTGACAAGGACCAAGTGGGCCCTGGAAAGGGTCAGAGACTTGCAGGACCAGCTGTGGTTCTGGCTTCCCTCAGGCCCCGCATCACCCCATGAGGCTTTGTTTGTCCGTCTCCCAATGCCCTGGAAGCTCCCTAAGAGCAGGCCCAGCTCTTACTTCTCTTGGGTCCATAGTAGAAGCTCAGTAAATTTGGAGAAAGGAATAAATGAGGGAGGGAAGAAGCAAACGGTCTCCGAGGTGTTAATCATTGTGGACTGGATCATTGCAGTGAGGATTACTGTTATTCAGCTCAACAACAGGTTCAACAAATATTTGCTGACAAAATGCAAAGCCCTCTTCTGATGATGCCACCCCCAGTGGCCCCCGGGGCTCAGAAGGAGCCTGCGCCCCAGGCTGTGCCCCAGGACTGAGCCTCCCGGGGGGCTTCTAGGAAGAGGAGGCGAGATCACAGTGTGTCAATCAAGACTCCCTGGGACTCCCAGGTCCCAGCCTTGAGCTCAGCCCCCAGGCAGGCCGGAGCCCTCTGGGGGTCCTTTGGAGGGGAGGGAAAGATGTCACAACACTGGGAGGTATTTTCCCGCACCCTGCCACTTACAAGCCCTTTCTGGCTCTGCAGCCTTCTAGAGTGTGAAGCAACTTCAGGGCGTTACCATTTCTCCTGACTCCAGGTTTTCTCTCAAGTTTGTAGAATTGTACAAATGAACCTGGTTTTAGCTTTTGTAATAAAGAGATACGATCAACATCCAGAGAAGAAATGCTCTGCAGTGGCGTGATGTCTTTGTAAATGAAGCTTCTCTCAGGCACTAAGTTTTCCAGAACAGGACCTAGTGGAGAGAGAACCACAGTGAACTTCCTGGTGGTCCCTGTTGCAAAGGACTTCAGCTCCATGGACGCACCTGGGAGCTGCCTGGCTGGGTGGCATTTGGTCTCCCTGAACCTCTAGGGTTTCTGCCCGGAGCAGGTAGTGGTGGGATCCACTCAATTTGAAAACTCCTGCCTGGAGTTTAACAGCATCTGCCCAGGGCTAGCACTGGACCAGGTTCTGGGACATTGAGATGAATAAGGGAGTCCTACTCTGTTTGCAAGGATCTGCCCACGAGGGCCTCTCAGTCTAGAAAGAGAGTCAGACCCAGACAAGCGAGTACAGCCATAGTGTTGCAGGTGGTGAGGCCAAGCAGGGGCTGCAGGAGCAGGGCGGGGAATGGTCCTTTCTCTCTCTCTGTGTGTGTGTGTGTGTGTGTGTGTGTGTGTGTGTGTGTGTGTGTCTAGAGTTCCAGAAGGGACAGTCAAAATTAATCTTAAACGAGGAGCTCAGTAGGTGGACAAAGGAGAAAAGGCATTGCAGGAAGAGGGCACAGCATGTGCAAAGGGCCTGAGGCAGGAATCAGTCGGCTGGGTGTGGGGATCAGCCAGTGCTTTAGTTTGGCCTAAGGATGGGGGTGAGGGGCAGCACTAAAGGAGGCTGCAAGTGGGTTTTGGCCGGGCAGGGAGGGATTTGAACACCAGGTTTCATTGTGTAAGCCCTGGGGAGCCTGTGAGGCGTGAAATAGGCAGTGACTGTCTGAGATGTGCATTTTGGAGACTCCCTCAACCGAGGGTGTCCCCCTCCCTACACAGTGGACTTGTTCTTATTCTTTAGGCCACAACTCAAATATCATCTCCTCCTCTGGGAAGTAGCTCCTCCCACCATTTACCCTTCCTTCTCCTTAGCCCCCTCTTCTCTCCCTCCCTCCTAGCAGTGATCACAGCTGAGAGCCAGTGGCTCTGGTTCACAGCCCCCGGAGGCCCAAACAGGCCTGGTCCAGAGTCGTGCTCATGAACAGTGGTTGACTGAAAGCATGATCATGCAGGCAGCTGTGGGGTGGAGGCAGGGCTGGAGGCTGAGTCTGAAGGCTGCTGTGGGTGAGAGATGAGGTAGGGTGTGGCAGAGGCTGGAGAGAGGGTCAGTCCCAGCCACAGTGACAGTGACAGTGACAGTGACAGTGGGGGCCCGGGAGGGGAGGAGCCTGCACTTCTTGGATAGTCACCCTCCCACGGGGAGCTTGTAAAACAGATCCCCAGGTACTGGCCCTGGCTCTTCTAACTCAGCTGTCTGTGGTAGGGCCAGGAATCTGTACTTTTACAGAGGTGGCTCCGTGTCTGCCCGTGTTTGGGAGCGATGGGTCTTACCACGTGTCCTCGCCTTTCTAGTCGCATTGCCAGCAACCCCGTCCCTGGCCGGCTTCCTCATCCCACCCAAGTCACTCCCAGGGCATTTGATCCTCAGCCCCATGGCCCTGGCCCCTAGGCTGGTGTCCCACGTAAGGACCAGTGTCCCATAAAGGACAGAAGGACAGCATCTCCACCCCTAAAGCTGGAGACAGGGCCTGGGGGAGGGATCAGAGGAGGGCGGGAGAATTTGGAGACGCTCGGGGTGGGGCTGACTTTGAGGCTGGGACTCCCATGTCAGGGTCTTCACTTCAGCTCTGCCCTGACTGGCTGTGGAAGACACAGGCCCCCTCTGCACTTCAGTTCTGCCACGTGCAAATGAGGGCGGCACTGGGCAGTGCTGAAGGTCTGCACCTCCGTCCCTCTGGGGGACCGCCAGGAAGCTGCAGGCCCCAGTGCGAGCTGTCCCCAAGGCCTGCCAGGGTGACCCTGCTGGCTCACGTGCAGCCACCTTCTCCTCCACAGCTTGTGAACTGGGCTTCTACAAGTCAGCCCCTGGGGACCAGCTGTGTGCCCGCTGCCCTCTCCACAGCCACTCCGCAGCTCCAGCCGCCCAAGCCTGCCACTGTGACCTCAGCTACTACCGCGCAGCCCTGGACCCACCGTCCTCAGCCTGCACCCGTGAGTACCACTCCCAGATGCCAGCACCCTTGAGCCCAAGACTGGGCCGGGCCACCAGTTCTCTGCTGGTGGGCAGGGGCAGGTGGCTCTCTTGGGCTAGAGGTCAGACTGGGGTCGGGGGGTGACTCTGACCCCTCCACGGTGGCCTACACCTCTCTGGGCTCCCCACCTCTGCCATGTGTCACCTACACTGGAGGGCAGAATGGAGCTGGCCTCACTTCCTTCACCACACTGAGCAGTTTTTGTCATCTTTTGATCTAGCGGCGATGCCGACGTCCTGGGGGCCAGGTGGGCAAGCCAGGGTGCTGGCCTGTGCGGAGAGGGTGAGGGTTAGAGCAGCAACCCCTCCATCACCATCATCTTTGATGAACTTGTTGGAACTACTGAATGCTGAGAGCTGCCTTAAGTGTGTATGGTGTGTGTGCATGTGTGTGCACACATGGAGTTTGCATGTCTAATTCTGTGTGTGCCCTGGGCCCCCTGCAAGGATTGTGTGGCTGCATGTGTCTGTGTGGGCAGCTGCTCTTACAGATGACGCCTGTATCGTGTTTGGATGCCTGCGTGTAAATGTGTGGTGTGTAGTTGAGCTCACATATATAAAAGATTCATCACATATATTAAGGATTCTTAGGAGGAGGGGCGTGTGTGTGTGTGTAGGTGTATGTACATCTGGGTACCTGAAAGGGACTCAGAAGTCCTTGTAAAGCTTGAACGAGGGTGTCTTGTGAGCTCAGCACGTGTGTGTGCGCATGTGCACACCTGGCTCTGCAAGGGTGCCTGTGCCTGGAGAGGGTGTGGCTGCATGTGCACCAGCCCTGCGGACCCAAAGGTATGGGAGGGATTCTGCGCCCATGCCTGCAGGGCCGCGTGACTGTCCTACCTTCTGCTGATGCAGTGCCTGGGTTCTCTCCTCTCATCTGTCCTGACGGGCCACTCATACTCCCATTCCAGGCCTGGGGAGGGACCACAGCCTGCTCAGCCCAGCCCAGTTGCCAACCCTGGGCCCTTGTGTTAGGGCAAGAGGTGCTTCAGACTGTTCTGATTTTGCTCTGAATCTACCCAAGCACCGACGCCCATCTCCCCCTCCCATACATCCATCACCACCCAGCCCCAGACTCCCTGCACATGGCAGGCGAGGGCCCAGGTGCATTCATGCCTACATGCTTGTGCACGTACACACAGACACACACACACACCCTCCCTCCACTGCCCTGCCCAGATCTGTGCATTTTCCCCATGTGGGACCTGTTGGGGCAGAAAAGGTGGCCGGGTGACAGGGTGACAGCGTGGGCTCCTCAGGCAAGGCGAGTCTGGCCCCAGGTCATGGACACTTGCGTGGAGCTGGCTGGACTCTGGTTTCTTTCCACACCCACAGTTCAGTGCCTTTAGATTCTGGAAAGCTTAAGACTATAAAGGCTGATCTTTTAGTATTCTATACCCTTCAGATGTTAAAATTCTCTTCTCTTCAGATTGTAAGATTCTGATTCCAAGATCTTACAATTCTGTTTTCTGAAGATCTAAGATTCTCTGCCTGGGATTCTGAAAACTAGAATTCTGAGGCCAGGGGCCCCCACAGACCCCCATGCTCTCCTCACTCAAACCCCCACCCCAGCCCCTCATGCCCCAGCCCCACGTCCTGGTCTGCTCGACCAAGGGGCCACCCCTCTCTCTCCAGAGTCTTTGTGCTGCCCAGACAGAGGCTCCCATGCCCGGGGTTGGGGAGGCGTTGCTTGGTACACACAGCCATGGGGATATGCAGTGGGCTTCTGGGGACCTCCACTTAATCCTACAGTGCGTGCTCAGTGGCGTTTTATATCAGATCCAGCTCAGAAGGGTCAAGGAATGAATGTGGCTGCAAATGCCTGGGTCACTTACACACGGGGTGGCTGCTATGGGCGCCCCCGGGACTGTGTGGTCTCTCTCCCGCTCTGGGTGGGCGCTGGGACGCCCAGACCCTGGGATCACGGTGGTCCTGATGGGCGGGGGGGATGGGGTCCCAGGGTTCTGTGCCCAGACTCTGACATTGTGGTCCCAGTCTGATGGCAGAGACACAAACTCTGCTGTTGGGGAGGCTCCAGGGGATGGAGTAGATGTGACCCTATCCTTAAGGAGCCCTAAATATGGTGGGGAGCCCTTCCCTTGGGGAGCCCCAAGTCTGACGATAGGAAGACAGGACGGCCCAAATAAATAACCACTGCCCCACCTGTCATCCTCTGCCCTCAGGGCCACCCTCGGCACCAGTGAACCTCATCTCCAGTGTGAATGGGACATCGGTGACTCTGGAGTGGGCCCCTCCCCTGGACCCAGGTGGCCGCAGTGACGTCACCTACAACGCCGTGTGCCGCCGCTGCCCCTGGGCCCTGAGCCGCTGCGAGGCATGTGGGAGCGGCACCCGCTTTGTGCCCCAGCAGACAAGCCTGGTGCAGGCCAGCCTGCTGGTGGCCAACCTGCTGGCCCACATGAACTACTCCTTCTGGATCGAGGCCGTCAATGGCGTGTCTGACCTGAGCCCCGAGCCCCGCCGGGCCGCTGTGGTCAACATCACCACGAACCAGGCAGGTAGGCGGAGAAGCTCCGGCCCGTAGCTTTCCGGTCCCCCAGCTTCCCCTGCCCCAGGCCCATCCAGGGATCAGAGCTCTGCTGGGACGTGCTGTGGGCCTTCAGGCAAGTGCCTCTCTGGCCCTGCCCTTCTCACCAGGACCCAGAGCTGGAGGCTCTTCATTGCCTTTAGAAAAGTGGAACATGTTCTATCAGTAACAGAAATCCCAAAAGCTCAGAGGCAGGCTAGTGTGGCTGTCGAAAGCCTAGGTTCCAGAATTTTCCCTCTCTGCGCCTCTGTTTCCTCCCTGGTGCAATGGGAATAATAGTACCTGCCCGAGGTCCTCTCAGGAGGCTTAAATGAGAGGAATGAAATTGCTTAGCCCAGCACCTGGCCCATGGTAAATGCTCAATAAATGTCATTAAAAAATAAAATCACTCTGATGATCATTTTCCAGAACAGCTGCTACAGCTGCCCCTGGGATAGACTTGGCTTCACTGGCTTGGACCACAGTCATTTATCCATCAGTTTCTGGCCAGCTGGTGGGCAGAATTCACCCCAGAACCTCTTTCTTCCCAAACTCTGGAGGATCCTGCCTGTTAAGTGACAGGCTGGCTCAACAGCCCGCCCAGGGCAGCTTGCTATTACCAGCCACCCTCACCTGTGCCCAGGACCCTCAGGCCCCCACCCACCATCTCCTCCCAAAACCACGCAGCCCTGGCCCCACAGACACTATGACTACCATGTCACAGAGGAAGAAACTGAGGTCTGGAGAGCCACCCAGGGCCACCTGACATAGGAAGTGGCAGAGGCAGGGCTCAAACCCAGGTCTGTGTCATTCCCAAGTGAAGCAGGTCCCCCCAACTCTGAATCCAGGGCATGCTGTTCCCTGGCGCCAGGGCCTCACCCCTTCAGAAGATTCCCTCATTCTTAGCCCTTGTGGAGCACCCACTAATTGCCAAGTGTGGTGCCAGGTGCTGGCAACACAGAAAGCGACCTATGTGCCCCGTGGTAGAGCCCAGCCCTCGCCCACCTGTCTCTAGGCACCTGAGGCCCCTGGCAGGCTGGTCCCAATGGAGGGGAGAGCAAGAGAAGCCCACAGCATTCAGGCAGCCTCCAGGAAGCCCCAATATTAAAGAGGAAACTGGACCCTGCCTTGAACCTGCCTTCCCTTCCAGCCACCAGACCGTTTCGCTTCCCCTAAGACCCGCTCTGTCCGCGCCTGGTGTATCTACTGCCTCTCCCCTGTGGGCCTTCTCTGCATCTTTCCTCCCCTCTCCACGGAAGTCAGCAGCGCCGCATGGCCACATCCATGGGCTCCCCTCCCCCTTTCATTTCCTCCTCCTGGGAACACTTTTCTCTTGCTCCTGTGTCCCAGCCCACCCCCATTTTCCATCGACCTATGTGGCCTGTCCCTCTCATTTTTGTAACCCCACCTCCTCTAAATGGCCTCTAAAGGCCACAGGTCCCTGGGAATGTCCTGGGCCCTCCTCTCTTTCCTGTGTGCCCAGATCCATCTTTTCTGGGCGGCTGTTTCAGGGCCCATGACTTTGAATTCCATCTTCGTACTAACAACCCCAACTCGCAGTCACCAGCGCAGACCTCTCCCCTGGGACCCAGCTGCCCTCTCCCGTCTCCATTCGGTTGTGTAAAAAACAACCCTGCCACACCTGCACCTGCCCCGCACTAGGACGTGGCACCCCCAAACCCAAGCTGTCATCCTTGACTCTCATGCATGTCACATCCATCCGCCTGAAAGCCCCAGGGGCCTCCCTTCAAAATGACCAACTGACTTCCACCCCCGCCGAGTCCATGCCTGGACCACCACAGGAGACCCCTCTTACCTCACCCCCACAAGACATTCTCCACACCACTTCTGAGTGAGCTTTAAAAATAGAAGTGAGGGCTGGGCGTGGTGGCTCACGCCTGTAATCCCAGCATTTGGGGAGGCCAAGGCAGGAGGATCGCTTGAGGCTAGGAGTTTGAGACCAACCTGGGCAACATGGCAAGACCCCATCTCTGCAAAAAACTTTCTTTTTTTGAGACAATGTCTCAATCTGTCGCCCATGCTGGAGTGCAGTGGCACAATCACAGCTCACTGCAGTCTTGGTCTCCGGAGCCCAAGTGATCCTCCCATCAGCCTCCCAAGTAGCTGACCAAAGGCACACAGCACCATGCCCAGTTATTTTTTTTATTTTCTTTTTATTTTTTGTAGAGATGGGGTCTCCCTCTATTTCCCAGGCTGATGTGAAACTCCTGGGCTCAAGTGATCCTCCTGCCTCAGCCTCCCACAGTGCTGGGATTACAGGCATGAGCCACCGTGCCCAGCCCCCCAAATTTTGTAAATGAAAATACGTGAGATCAAGCTGTCCTCAAAGCCCTTCACAGCCCAGGCTGAGTGCACATGCAATTCAGACATTCTCATGGCCTGTGGACCCACATGGCTTTGCCCCCACCTGCCTCTCCAGAGCACCTCTTTCCCTGGCTCACTCTCTTCTGGCCACGATGGCCTCCGGTGCCCCTCGTTGAACACGCTGGGTCTTTCCCTGCTGCTGGGCCGTGGCCTGGCTTCTCCTTCGGAATGACTCACTCTTCCCCTGACATTCCCATGCCTGGCTCCTCTGCCCTGGAAGCTCCCCCGACCATCGCAGCTGAAATGGCCCAGTGCCCTTCCGGGCCCTGCAGACATCTTCTCTATCACAGCACCCCTTCCTACCTTTCCAGCACCAAAAGAATCCCCATTCTCCTGTTTATTGGACACCCTGTCTCCTTTCCTGGGACAGAAGCTCCTTGAGGGCTGTCTTAGGCACCGCAGTGCTCCCGGCTTCTAGCCCCATGCCCAGCATGTGGTAGGCACTCAGGAGTTCTAAAGGATCAAGTGACAGCTCTAAGCAATTGGGGAGGACTGTGCTCAAAGACCACCTGCCCCTCCTGCCTCACCATCGCCACTTCTCTACAACCAGCTTCTCTCTGGAGCACTCCCGCTCTGGGCCCTGGTCTCACTCTGTCCACCCCCATCCCATAGCACCTCCTGCTTTAAGAGACACACCCTGTGTGTCCCTTGCAAACAGTGGCCTCATCAAATCCTCCCCTCCCCCTGGCAGGTGGTGCTCATTAGCTTCACTTTATAGAAGGGGACCTGGCATCCACAGACAGCAAGTGACTCACCCAGGGTCCCAGCTAGCAAGAGGGAGCCAAGTCCCGAACCCACGCCTGGCTCCTGGGCTGGTGGGCTTTCCCTTGGACCACACCCTTCCAGTGCAACTCTGAAGCTGTTTCTTAATTTCTCATGCCAGAATCATCAGCAGCATTTATTGGGCACCTACTCTGTGCAGTGCCTGCCCTCAGGGAGCTCCGAGTTATGCTGGGGATGCCCAGACATGAGGGAAGACTTAGTCACGTAGGGTAGAGAGTCAGAACTCAGAGTGAGCAGAGGGGAGGAGGAGGCCTGAGGGCTGGAGGGGCAGGAAGGACAGTGCAGTTCCCTCTGGCTGTGGCTGTGGCTGTGTCTGACCCCTCCTAGCAGGCTCCCCACAGGGCTGACCGCACCTGAGCCAGGAGGGAGGGATGCATGAAGAAAGGCATGGGTGACTCCATCAAGGAGGGAGGGATGGATGGGCAACCAAGTGTGAATAGCTGGGGCTCAGCTCACCCCCTTCCCTCCGCGTCCAGAGTTGTCCCAGCTACGCCCTCCAAACCCAGGCAGTAAGGGGCCCGTTCCTCCATTCTACACTTCTTTCGCCTGACCTTTCGTCCTTCCTCAAGCACTCCCAAGCAGCTGGCCCATGCCAGGCCCTGGGCTGGAGAGCGAGACTCAACCCGCTCCTTGGCCAAGCCAACCCTAGCATCCCAGACCATGCCAGGCCACACCAACCCCAGGGGACTGACCCCAAGTGGCCACCAGTGATTTGTTGGGAGAACTGGAGGGTGCTGGCTGTCCTGGGGCTGGGGCAGGACCGTCAGGAAGCTGAGCAGGGCTGGAACCAGGATCCCCGGGTAGAGCCTGGGAAGGGGTGGGAGAGAGGCCACCCCTTGTCTCCCATCCGCCCATCTGATGGGATTGGCCACCCCAGCCCCGTCCCAGGTGGTGGTGATCCGGCAAGAGCGGGCAGGGCAGACCAGCGTCTCGCTACTGTGGCAGGAGCCTGAGCAGCCCAACGGCATCATCCTGGAGTATGAGATCAAGTACTACGAGAAGGTACCACGGGCAGGACTGAGTGGGCGGGGCTGGGCTATCCGGGCAGGGCCCACTGACCACCGTCCCGTGGCAGGACAAGGAGATGCAGAGCTACTCCACCCTCAAGGCCGTCACCACCAGAGCCACCGTCTCCGGCCTCAAGCCAGGCACGCGCTATGTGTTCCAGGTCCGAGCCCGCACCTCAGCAGGCTGTGGCCGCTTCAGCCAGGCCATGGAGGTGGAGACTGGGAAACCCCGTGAGTGCAGGGAGGGGGCGGGTGTGGGCGTGGAGCAGCTCAGGCGCCAGGACCCTGGGGTAGGGGAGTGGCCGAGAAGAGAGCTAGTGCGGGCTGAGCTGGTGCCAATGCAGGATTTCTGCTCTCCTTGCCCTACCAAGTGGTGTTGTCGAAGTTTTTTTGTTTAATTGAGACAGTTTCACTCTGCCACCCAGGCTGGAGTGCAGTGGCGCAATCTCAGCTTATTGCAGCCTCCACCTCCTGAGTAGGGTTCAAGGGATTCTTCTGCCTCAGCCTCCACAGTAGCTGGAATTACAGGTTTGAGCCAACACACCCAACTACTTTTTTTTTTTTTTAGACGGAGTCTTGCTCTGTCGCCCAGGCTAGAGTGCAGTGGTGTGATCTCGACTCACTGCAACCGCCACCTCCCAGGTTCAAGCAATTCTCCTGCCTCTGCCTCCCGAGTAGCTGGGACTACAGGCGCTCCCCCACCACACCCAGCTAATTTTTGTATTTTTAGTAGAGACGGGGTTTCACCATCTTGGCCAGGCTGGTCTCGAATGCCTGACCTTGTGATCCACCCACCTCAGCCTCCCAAAGTGCTGGGATTACAGGCATGAGCCACCACTGCCAGCCTAATTTTTTGTGTATTTAATAGAAATGGGGTTTTGCCATGTTGACCAGGCTGGTGTTGAACTCCTGACCTCAGGTGATCCACCCGCCTTGGCCTCCCAAAGTGCTGGGATTACAGGCATGAGCCACTGCACCCGGCCTCTGTCGGCATTTTCGCAGATGAAAAACCAAGGCTCAGAGAAGGACAGTTGCTCGCCTAAGGCGGCAGAGATGATGACAGCCCCCCACACACAATGGCTGGTACTGAGATCTGGGTCTCAGTATCAGGGTCTGGGACCAGCAGCATTGGTCTCACCTGGGGACTTACTAAAAATGCGAATTCCCAGTCCTCACCCCAGCCCTTCAGAAACCCTGTGGGTGGCGCCTAGCCATCTGGGTTTTAACAAGCCCTTGGTGATCCCCAGGCACTGTCACATTTGGGACCCTCTGGCTTCGACGCTGTCCCTTTCACTCTCCTGCCCCAATCTCCAGCCTGAGTCAGGGTCTCCTGTATGTGCACCCACCGCGTGCTGGAGCTAGGACAGAGATAGCAACCGCCCACCTGGCACTCGCTGGGCGTCTGAGTGCCTCCAGTGCTCGTGGGCCTGGCATCCCCTCGAGACCACCCAGATGGGAATCCTGAGCCCTCCATCCTATGTACTGTGTGGCCTCGAGTCATTTCCTGAGTTCTCTGCGCCTCAGCTTTCCATCTGAAAACTGAAGATAATGCTGGGGTCTCCCTGGAAGGGATGTGGGGAGGGTTTACTGAGGCTTGAAGGTACAGCTCTCAGCACACTCCGTGTTGTCACTGTTAGGATAACAGGAAGGACAGGCGTTTATTGGCTCAGAGGACACACGAGTCTTCCCTGGTCCCACAGCCCCAAGAAGCAGCGGCACCATTAGGAAGCTGGGGCATCCAGGTCTCAGGAGCTTGAAGAGGAAGCTTAGGAGAGGGTGGGGTGGGAGCAGAGGAAGAGCTGGCCTGCGCCCTGACTCTGGGCTGGCTCATGGCTAAGGAGGCTCCCCACTGGCCCCAGGGTCCCAGCTAGGCAGGCTCAGAGGACTGCCAGACCCCTAGGCCCAAGGCCAAGGCTGAGAGCCTGGTCCCCCAACCCTGGCTTACCCCTGCAGGGCCCCGCTATGACACCAGGACCATTGTCTGGATCTGCCTGACTCTCATCACGGGCCTGGTGGTGCTTCTGCTCCTGCTTATCTGCAAGAAGAGGTGGGTGGTCTGGCCCAGCCACACCCAGCCCCTCCTCTCAAGCGCTGTACCTCCTGCCTGCCCCCAGCCCCACCGAGCCGGTGGTCCCCGTGTGCCTGGGGCTGGCTCACTTACAAATACATCACCTCATTTAACCTAATGACATGCCAGTGATGTAGAGATTCTGACCTCACTTTGCAGGTGAGTAAATTGGGGATCAGAGAGGCTAGGCTTCTTGCCAGAATCACACAGTTGATAAATGCCAGAGCTAGGACACGAGCCTAGGTCTGTCAAACTCAAGCCCGTACTCTCAGTTACTTTGTCCTCTCCACTCCATTTTGGAGGGAGGTAGAGACAGGATAGTGTGTGGGCTTGGGGTCCCAGACAATGAGGATCATCTAATTGATGGAGAAATGGTGACCCAGGGAAGGGAAGGGGCTGGCCAAGGTCACCCAGTGTCGTTGGCCACAGAAGCCTCATCTTCCAATGCCCCACCAATGGTGGTTTCATATAACATTGGGCTGACAGCGTCGTAGACTTTGCCAAGAGGGTCCGGTGGACTCGAGGGCATTTTGAGGATCGCACAGTGCTTGTGACCGTCACGGCTGTCATAGTTTAGTTTCCCCTGCAGACTTTGTAAGGAGCAGGAGCTGACTTGTCAGGGGAAGGGACATGAAGAGAGAAGCCATGACTCGTCCCCTGGTTGGGGTCAGGTCCTGGGCTAGGGATGGCCTGGCCTCAGGCAGGGCGGTGCCCTCCTCTGCAGGCACTGTGGCTACAGCAAGGCCTTCCAGGACTCGGACGAGGAGAAGATGCACTATCAGAATGGACAGGGTGAGTGCAGGGGCCCAGAGGTCTGGGGCAGAGGGAAGGCCACAGGGAGACCCAGTGCTGGACTGGGGGTGGCACAGATGGGAAGGAGGAAGGTGCCCAGTGGAAAGACCAGAGCCTGAGAGATAGACTCCAGGATGTCACAGAGACCTGGTGTCCCAGAGGGCAGCGCCGGTCATGCCTCTTGGACTCTCAGACTACATTCAGGATGCTAGAGATCCTCTCCCCAGGGAAGGGCACACATTTGTATATGATTTCGGAGTGGGAGTTCATATACTCTTTGACAATGAACCCCTACTACGGAGAGATTTTCAGGATCCTGTAGAGATCCCAGACAATAAGGCGAATCTGGGGATGCCTCCCTCCATGCCCCACTCCTGTGCCCATGGTAGACATTAGCATCAAGCATGGTGCCAGTTCCCACCAGGCCTGGGTGCAGCCTCAGACTCCTCTTTAACTACTTTTTATATTTATTTATATATTTATGTATATATGTATTTATTTATTCTGAGATGGAGTCTCACTCTGTCACCCAGGCTGGAGTGCAGTGGCTCAATCTCAGCTCACTGCAACTCTGCCTCCAGAGTTCAAGCGATTCTCCTGCCTCAGCCTCCCAAGTAGCCGGGATTACAAGCGTGCGCCAACACTCACTGCTAATTTTTGTATTTTTAGTAGAGACAAGGTTTCACCATGTTGGCCAGGCTGGTCTTGAACTCCTGACCTCAAGTGATCCACCTGCCTCAGCCTCCCAAAGTGCTGGGATTACAGGCGTGAGTGAACCAACGCGCCTGGCCAGAAACTATTTTCAATGAATCAAAGTTGACGCTTGTGGCAAAAACTTACTTTTGCTACATCCCTACTCCAGAACAATTGAGAAAGATCTCAAGGACTGTAAAAGTGACCCCAGAAAATGACAGACATGCCCAGAACTCTCTGGAGACTCCACAGCCCCATAGAAACTCCAGAGCGACTCCAGACACCCCGCTTTCATGTGGGAAGTACTTATGGGGTGCGTGTTGTTTGCTAGCACATCCAGAGATTCCCAGAGACACCCCTTACTCCACCCAGACCCATCCCAGGCCCAGGGACTGCTGGGAGGGAAAAATCCCTCCTGGGCCCCACTGAAGGGCCTCCTCCCGCCCCTCAGCACCCCCACCTGTCTTCCTACCCCTGCATCACCCCCCGGGAAAGCTCCCAGAGCCCCAGTTCTATGCGGAACCCCACACCTACGAGGAGCCAGGCCGGGCCGGCCGCAGTTTCACCCGGGAGATCGAGGCCTCTAGGATCCACATTGAGAAAATCATCGGCTCTGGTGAGTCTCAGGGGTTGTGAGGGCGGGGACAGCACGGGGCAAGGTGGGGGTACCCAGGGCAGAGGAAGCGTGTGACCCAAGGGTCTGGCAGGCACAGGGGGCACAAGGGCCTGGGAGCCTGGGGGAGTCTGAGGGTCCCACTGCCCCCCCTCCCCACCTGCCTCTCTCGGGGCCTGCAGGAGAGTCTGGGGAAGTCTGCTACGGGAGGCTGCAGGTGCCAGGGCAGCGGGATGTGCCCGTGGCCATCAAGGCCCTCAAAGCCGGCTACACGGAGAGACAGCGGCGGGACTTCCTGAGTGAGGCGTCCATCATGGGGCAATTCGACCACCCCAACATTATCCGCCTCGAGGGTGTCGTCACCCGCGGTAGGTGCCAGGCAAGGACAGCCTCCCCCTGCGGTGCCCCTCCTGCCTGGACAGGCCTCTGGGTCCATCCCCTCATCCATCCTGCTCTGCCCCACCTGACCCTGTCCTCTCGGTTCAGGTCCCCAAATGACTCGGGGTGCCCAGAGTCTGGGACCCCAGTGGAAATCCAAGGCACCCTGGGGCTTCCAGTGCTGGCACAGGTCCTGGGATGGCAGTATGCTCCTGGGGTGTCTGATCAGCAGCCCTGAGCCCCAACCAAGAGCCACCCTCTCCCCACTGCCCGCCCCAGGCCGCCTGGCAATGATCGTGACGGAGTACATGGAGAACGGCTCTCTGGACGCCTTCCTGAGGGTGCGTGTCCCACGTCTGCCTCTTGCATGGGCTTGGGGAGGGAGGTCCAGTCTGGGTTTTGGGAGCTAGTGCAAAGCCCTCTAAGCCTCCTCCCTGGCTTGGACACCACAGGCCGGGGAGTGGGAGGCAGGTATAGGGAGGAGGTCTTCGCGGTCAGCCAGTCAAACTGCCTTTCGGCCCCCATTGCATGAAAGTCCATCTGCTCCACGGGGTCCTGCTGCCCCTCACGCAGGCTGAGGGAGGTGCCTCTGTAGGAATCCAGGCCCCACCCAGCTGGGGGACATGCTGGCTGTGGTGGAGACGGCGGGATTCCCAGCTGCTGCCCTGCAGTTTCTTTGCTGGGTGCTCTTAGGCACAGAGCTTAACCTCTCTGGGCCTCCATCTCCCGTTCCACAAAAATGGGTAAGCCGTCATTGCTGCCCCACCTACCTCGCAGGGTTGCTGTGAGGGCAAATGAGACCAGGAGAATAACCCTTAACTGCAAGGTGCTTCAGAAGCATGGAGCAATTGGTAAATTGCAAAGCGCCATCTAGAGCATCGTACAGATGGGCGGGGTTCCTGTTCACGGACCAGGCGCCTCACTGGGCCTTCCTGAAGCCCAAGCCGTGTCTCCCTGCAGACCCACGATGGGCAATTCACCATCATGCAGCTGGTGGGCATGCTCAGAGGAGTGGGTGCCGGCATGCGCTACCTCTCAGACCTGGGCTACGTCCACCGAGACCTGGCCGCCCGCAACGTCCTGGTTGACAGCAACCTGGTCTGCAAGGTGTCTGACTTCGGACTCTCACGGGTGCTAGAGGACGACCCGGATGCTGCCTACACCACCACGGTGCGTCGCCCACACTCCTTCTGGCTAGACTGGGGAGTGGGGAGGTGGCGCCGGTGGCACCCAGGGCCCGACAATTCTTCTGCAAGTAGTTGAATGAAGTTGGCAGTTTCGGGGTGGCCCTCAACCTGGGGCACATCCTGTTTCTCCTCTTCACGCCAGTGCCTTCATCTGGGAAATGGGAACAGCCTTGCCTGCCTTTCCTCTGTCACCAGGTGGCCAGGGGAGACCCCAGGGCTGGTCCCCATGGTCGCTCACTCACCAGGAGACTTGAGGAGGATTGGAATCTCCCCGAATTGTACCCAGACTCCACATCTGTCTCTAAAGTTTGCCTAAAACCCAGCTGTTTTCAAACGTGTTCCATGGGAATTTGGACCTCTCTAGAGGTGCTTTAGGGGCGGCCTTAAAGGCAGGAGCTGAGTGCACAGGGGTCAGTTTCCACCCTGCCCCAACAGGAGCCCTCCCTTAGCCTCTGTCCCACAGCCTCTGAGTAAGGTTTCCCATGGAGAAGGATCCTGTGACAACAAAAGAAAGAAGGAAGGAAGGAAGGAGGGAGTGGAGAGAGGGAGGGAGCGAGGAAGGAGGGAGCAAAGGGAGAGAAGAAGGGAGGGAGTAGGGGAGGAAAGAAAGGAGGGAGAAGGAGGAAGGAAGAAGGGAAGGAGGAGGAAAGGAGGGAGGGAAGGAGGGAAAGAAAGGAGAGAGGGAGGAAGGAGGAGGCAAAGGAGGGAAGGAAGGAAGGTGGAAAGGAAGAAAGGAGGAAAGGAAGGGAAGGGGAGGGGAGTGTGGAGAGGAGGGGAGGGGAAAGGGGAGCAAAAGGAAGGGAGGGAGGGAATGACAAAGGGAGTGGGGGAGGAAGGAAGGGAGGGAGAGAGGGAGGGAGGGAGGAAGGAAGGAAATGAAGGAGAGAAGGAGGGATGGAGGAAAGGAAGGAGGGAAGGGAAAGAAGGAGGGAGGGAGTGGGGGAGGAAGGAAGGAAGTGGGGGAGACAGGGAGGAAGGAAGGAAGGAGAGAAGGAGGAAGGAATGAGGGAAGGAGAGAAGGAAGCAAGGAGGGAGGAAGGAATGAGGGAAGGAGAGAAGGAAGCAAGGAGGGAGGAAGGAGAGAAGGAG